GACTCTGTATTAAACGAGGTATAAAATAAGCGTAAGCGTGAAAATGGTATAAACGTAGCGTGCGCAGGGAATACACACGGTATATTTGTAGCGTAGTTTTTTTTATTGAGTTGTGCCGTGGTTTTAGTTTGCCATTAATCATTAAAATTCATTTAGTACGATGCGAAAAATAAAATTCCAGTCACGAAAAACGTCCAAGCAAACCGACCATCCCAAAAGAAGAAAGAATTTAATTTGATTCGGTCTTCATTACGGTCGGTATGACATTGACAAGCTTAAATCAAATCAGTTGTGAACCGGATGATTGATATTTTTGCATGTAAAATGCGATGTAAATGCCGTCAAACGATGGTAAATTTGTTCATTAAACAGTTTCAACAGATTAAGAATTTCATTGAGTCTCACGTATTTTTTCTTCTTCTCTTCTTCTTCTCAATGTAAATGTTCATTATTCGTCACACACACACAAAGTAGCAGATGTTCTTGAGCGGACCAATGCGTATTTTCCGAATGGAATTGATTGTGTTGCGGCTTTGTTATACTTACGTTAACAGCTGCGTCGTATCCTTATCAATTTTAAATAAATTACGTGACGTATAATCATTAAAGTTGGAAATTGCTTTGCCGATGTCTTTGTTGCCATCAATTTGTGCTTGATTGGCACCACCCCATGTCTCCACATAAACAACCGACACTCGTGTATTCAACGTACGAAAATACTGTAGGAAATACCATAAAAGAGAGACAGGACATATTAGCGTTCAAATTCAATTTCGATTTTTTTTCATAAATAATGGGACAAAACAATAATTTGTGGAACAAATCAAGGGAATATGGAAGAAAAAATTGTGTGCCATTTGAATGAAAAATGCACGCTAAATATACCAATGAATAAAACGTATAAATGGGATTCATTATAATGGACCCAATTGAATGCGCAAGACCAAATATATTAAATTATAAATGAAAAACAACTCGATAATTGCTTATGAGAAAAAGTTTTTTATTCGCTGTATTTTTTCTGTTCATGAATCGCCAACAAAAACAATTGAACAGTTCAACAATTTTGAGAACAAAATGTTTCGCATGCTACCTCAAGTGGAGCATCATCAATACCACCACCACCACCACCACTCGGCGTCGGATACATAAAATTGATTAACATGGGCCTCCCCGAAAGAACAAAAAGAAAAATTAATGTTCGGAATCAAATTGTGGAAAGTTTTCGACCGAAAGAGAAAATAAATGATTTTTCGAATGAATCGCTTGCGACTAGTAACTAAAGTCGAAGACGTACGACATAGTCGCTCAATTGAATTTTCTTCGGCTAATAAAATACATATTGTACACGTACTGCTGTTATCGGTGTCTCATTTCACCAGATGGACTAATAGCGTTCTCTATGATTGCTGTATCGTATCTTTTGCGTAAACGATGTTGAATATTGGAAAAGTTCTGTTGTTGGATTGTTTTCTTCGACCAGAGGAAGTGGAAAAATTGCTTGAAATTCATTGCGAATAGAATTAAATGCAAGCATCGCATTTTTTCTTCATGTTTTTATACCAGAAATTTGTTTGGGTGACCTTCAATGACAAAACCAGAGCCAAAATGGAAGCGAAATAAAAAATTTCGCTATCGCACTTCGCAGCAGTGTTAATGAGAATATTTTCTTCATCACTTTCTTCTATTCCGCAATTTTTTTTTCTCTCCGTATAATGTTGATCATTGTCAAACAGAAAAGCGACAGAAAAGAGAATAAAAACAATTGACGCGGTCGCGTTCGCAATAAACGGCGTTGTCATGGCGCGTATTTGTCAAATGGGTAAAATTTTGTGAACTTTAATTAGATAAAATTCGATAGCTCTTCGCTTTCACACTAACGAACCAAACAGAAAAAAGGCATTGAAAAACCTTTCGACATCGCAATCGCCCGCGACGATATTGAATTTTCACAATAAAGTCTGCTAATAATATATGACGAACGAAAATGTATTTGGAAAACATTCTTGCGTTCCCATCACTTCATTTTTATTTTCCCAACTTGTTGTCGGATGCGTCTGATGAATTGAAAATGGAACTTTAGTGTATCGAATCCAATTTTCGGCTGTCGTCTATAACAAGCGCAAGAAAATGGATGGAAAAAAAAATCAAACATCAAGAAAAGTTTGGGAAACCTTGCTCGCAGCAAAAATCAAAGTTAAAGATTCATTTTCAAAATAGATTTCTGCGCTTGCGACTCAAACACTAATTGCTGCCTTCGAGTGAAATTTATATTAAATCGCCGATAATTGCGACAAAATGTTAACAGATAAAAGATGAAAGTTACTTGGAAAAAGAAAAGGGCGTTAAATTAAATTGCATTCGGGTAGAAGGCTAAGTATTTTATAAAGAATTTTGTTTTATGGCCTTTTCGGCCTAAATTTGACATCATCATAATCAAAGAATATGTTTATTGATTTTAGCAAAACTTTCGTCTCATTCTCATTAGTTAAGCGAATATTAAATATGTTTTGCTGGCGTTTTTGTTCTAGAATATAACAATAAATAAAACGAAAAATAAATAGAACAATGAAAGAGAAAAACAATTCAGAACAACAAAAATGAAAAGGTGGAAAGGTGAAAAAATACTCACCAAATCGGCAATGTTGGCCACTTGGATAGCATCGTGAACGACTTCGGCACGTGTGCTTCCGTTGCGCTTTTCAAACATTGCCTTATCGACAACAATGGCAGTTTCAATGTATTTGGTTGCTTCGCGTACATCACGCTTGTATCGTCCAGCACCATTTGGATGTTGTTCTTCAACGTTGCCTAGATCACCATGAAATCCAGCTATATGCTTTTGTCGTCTGACACCCATTCGCCGCTCCAATGCACCCGTATTCGCACAACCCTTATTCGCTTTGGTTCGCGCTTCGAAAATGACGTGCGGATGTTTCTGTTGAAACGAATTTGATTTGTTTTTTTTTTCATCCAATGACCAAATTTGTGTTACGCACATCAAACGATTGCAAAAATCGGGGCGAAAAAAACAGAAACACAGCATTCTTTTAGTTTAATGTCAACATATAAATAATATACGGCGAAGTGGAAATAAAAAAATATAAAACGTACAGACTGTCGTACAGTCCAACAAAACATCACACAAAATTGACAAGACCCAATGTATACACAAAAAGCTTTCGATAATCAAAGTGTTTTCCATAAAATAATTAAAAATCTGCATCAATATAAACAAACGCAACGCGTTGTTGTTTTCCGAAAATAAAGTTGTTGCCAACACATTTTTTGCATATTTATGCGTAACTCGAAACCGTCGAAACAAAATTGAATGGCAAACATTGTTTGTCGCTCAGTCAGCAAAATAATGGAATGCTATTAATTTTGATCGGTGGCGCAAAAGTTAAAGTTTTAATTAGACTGCCGCGTGAAGTGAATTGGTTGCCCCAGAACATTTTTTTTCTTGTCGCTCTAAAATAAAATATAAACGAAATTCTCGATGTTGTACATACACGTATTTACGACGATGATGCAAAGCGATCACAAAATTTGCAATAAATTTTTGCTCATTAAACGCCCGTAAACTCAGTTTCCTGCGAAATTTGCTTCAATTATGATAATTTCGGGAATGTATTCACCATGTTGGAGTTGCACAAATGCCAGACGGCATTAGTACGAAATTCCATCGAAGGGATCGCGTTGTTGTGAGCCGAGCAGCAATACCCGACCAGCCAAGTGAAAATTGCCTGAAATATATTACCGCCGAACAAATTCAAACTCATTTAACATTCTTCGAAAGTACTTTTACACATCGCTGTTCACTTTGTACTCGCGAAGCTGCAAATACGACTCATAATTAAATGGAATACGAAGTGATACGAAGTGTGAAATCATACATGTTTTGCGTCGGAGAACATTGTAAAAGAATGGATGTTATTCTTTCACACAAACAGACATACACGAAAATTCGCATCGACAAACGGTGGTACATGAAAAGTCATTCGCTCGCAACGGTGATTCAAATCTCGAATCAATTTCAAAATTACGAACAGGAATATGAGGAAAAACGCCTTTGAAGTACTGAATTCGATTCATGAACTGATTTGCTCAATAAATCTAATTGGAATGGCATTTTTGGCAGCATGTCGAACACATTTCACTCACATTCGATGGTAGATTTCCATTACAATCATTATGCGTTTGGCGCAAAGGAACAAAAATATTCTTTGAATCTTTCCTCCCTCATGGATAATGAGTATGCGATTGCTACTGAAATTGGTTGAGTAGAAAATTGGATTTTTTTTCTTAGGCAATTTGAATAACATTTTCAGCATTCAAACGACGAAAAAAAAACGACTGAATTTATAGATTTTGCTTCCAAAAAAGATTTCAAGCATTTGGGTTTCGTATCGAAATATTTTTAGCCAAAAATCTCGGAAATTAGACTCAATTTACGCTGTTGTGTCATATACTAATGTCATTCGATTGCAAAAAATCTATCGAATTTTCCTCCATTCAAACGATAATATTGTACTCGGCAGAGCAGCTTTGATGTTAGCCGAAAAGCCCACGGATGTTTGGAGGCAGACAAATAACGTTGATTCCGGTTTGTACAATTCCATCGATAAACCTATTGAGAAAAAAGGTGCGAACCGATTTAATCTATTAAGTACCCCAGGCTTTATTCGAAAGTCAATCGAAGTTTATAATGAAGAAATCAAGTGGGAAAAAGAGTGTGAATTAGATGAGAGAGTGGGCGCACAGAAAGAGTTCGAAAGAAAAAACTGTGAAGGTTTTTCCATGTAAAATTGGAAATCAAGCACTTGTGTTAGTAGCTTCTATTCGTCCTAAGTGTTAGTTCTTCGATAAATCTGCAAAAAAAAGGAATCAATTTGGTGCAGAATCTTGTTGCGAACATTTCACTCGTTTTTCACGGTCAATCATCCAAATGAAATCGATAGTGCGAATTTGATTTTTCCAATAGAAACAACCTGAAAAACCTGCCAAATGAAACGGAAAAATTCATTTCGCTTGTTGTTTTTTTCTTCTTGTTTTGCGTCCATCTTAATGTGTTCAAACCCCATTTGCTGGATTCATCTCGTTCGTTGGATTTACATACATACATAATACCATCAAATTGCTCTACACGCATGAATATATGCATGTGAATCATACAATCGGCCGGGTTGGACAAAGAGTCCAAAGACACAAATAAAAACGACATGGACTTTTTCTCGACATTTTGTGACGTTGTGACAAATGTCGAAAGTATAAAGAAGAATTTTGGGGCTGAATAACAAAAGCATGGCTGCTATGTTGGCTGTAATGGGTGTGTGAAAGCGAACAAAAAAATGATGTGCTGAAAATTCCGAGAATCAGAATACAACAATGACATTCGACTCAACTAATCTGAATACATTTTAAGCATATCGAAAAATAGGGTGGGCGCACATTCGATAATGACATTTGCATTCATTGAGTCGGAAGAAAGGAGTTCACTCAGCCAAAAGTTCAAATAGACAGCCGGCCACTGTCGAGCAAGAGTATTTACATTATGACCGAAATCAGGTTCTTTCGCCGAAAAGGCTAATTCCATTTAAAAGAAATCGACAGACAAAAATGCTGGTGCGCGCTCGCTCAATTCGACCAATTCGTTGATGCTATTGTATGTGTGTGTGTGGGCAAATATGGCCAACATGTGTGCTACACACGTTTCGTATCGTATATGCGGCTCCGGGCTCTCGATTTGATACTTTCATTTTTCACTTGATTTTTCCTTCATTTTATTCATTCCCATTGTATTTGACTTTGGTACCTTCCTCTATGCAATTTGTCCATTGGATGTGCGACGACGAAGTGGTGACAAAAAAAAACATTTCTCGAACAAAAAATTTGTAAAAAAAGAGAAGATAAAACGTGCAACTCCAAGGCATCGAGTGTGAGTGTTCGAATACATTTTTCGAGTGAAAATTGGCCTATTGTCAAAGCATTCCGTTTCGCTCTTTGCACAGCATATCCCATTGATTTCATTTGTTATTCTTAGATATTCGTTCAACATACACACAGTTCATGCGTTATGTTTGATATTTTGAATGTAGAATGATGGCTTTCCAAATCCCATTTTTTGTGCCGCTATTTCCACTGCTTTTTTCGGCGATGTTGTTGTTGTTGGTATTGACTATTGGCATAACTATGGAACCGACATGATTCGATTCGGGCATTCAATTCCTGGTTTTTGACTTCAAATCCATTTCTACAATCTCCGGAAACCACAAAGACATCGCCTTCGAAAAAGGAAACTAGCACATGAAATCGGGGCGCGCGCCTACCCAATTCGATTGATTTGAAAGAAAACTACATGATTTTGTGGCCCAATCAGAGATAAGCACACGTACCGCTTTATTCTTATTCCCGCGCAAAAACATCTCGAGGTAAGTGCGCCAGAGAAAGAGTGCGGCAAGCAAAAAAGAGACGGAATAAAATAGTTGGTACAAAAAAGGAACCCAATCAATTTCTCCCTTTCCTTTTCGCTATCGCTTCTTTTTATGCCATTGCGTTTTGTGTGTGTGTGTCTGTTTGTGTGTGTATCTAAGAGAAGTAAAAGAAAGCTCAACAAATGTAGTGTAATAGAAATTCGAAATTGACGACCTGGGTTTGTCCAATTCAACAATAGTTGGGGGAAAAAATTGTCCATCGATTTTGTTGTGTTTTCATTTTCCAGAGATTTTCTATTTCTTGCTTTGTCCTCATTTAAATCAGCTTTTGTGAACTGGTTTCAGACGAAGATTTATTTTTCCGATTTACTTCTCTGAATTGTTGAATTTCTCGGTCGTTCGCAGTTCAGTCTTTTGTTTTGAAATTGTTCACATTTTGCAATTACTTGCGACACCAAATTGAAAACAAGTGAAATGCGCTTTTAGATTATTTTCTCTTGTTGGTGATGGTCAAATCGGATTTCGCGTCGTTTATTTAAGCTACACTGTACGTGTACACATCCTTGTGAAGCCGATGTGTTCCGTTTAATTTTGTTGGCTTTATGCTTTAGCTTTTTCCCCCAATCGATTTCACGATTAAAGCTTTACATTTGTTGCATTCCGCTCGAGACAGTATTATATCGGCGACGCCGACAATTTCGCCGACGACAACAACAACCGAAGCAGCAGCAGCAACAACAAAAGCAATTGTTTCTATTAAATGAATTGTTAGTGAAAGAATTATGATTATCTAAAATCTATGGGCCGGACACTGAATGAAAGGCATCCAACTATTGAGAAATAACGGACCGATATAGTGTGAATAGAGAAATGCCGTTTTCAATGGAATAGAAAAGGAGGTGATATTCGTTGATCGAAACGATATACTATTATCGACCCGAAAAGAAGTCGTATTATACACGCAAACATTTTTACAACGGCCGATGATGTTGCAAAATGAATAGATATAGCGCAAAATCGGAACGTAGCCTTTTCTTTTCTTGCTTCGATGTTCCAATGTTTTTTATTTTTGCCCTGCTTATGTGTGTGTTTGTGTTCGTTCATATCGACTGTTGTTTCATGAAATTTAAGCGAAGGTATTTATAGAATTCTATCCGAATGGTCATCGAAAATGCTTAATACCTGAGTATCGTCGTTCGTCCAAAGATTTTGAACCGTTCGACGGTGGGACATCTCATTGTATAGTAAACGAATCCTGATAAAATTGGAAAAATTGTAAGCACAACATCGACGCAGTAAAGCAACAACACATACCAAACAAAATGAAAAGAGAAGAGAGAAGAGAGAAGAGAAACATATACGGTCAACTCAAATCTATCGTTCAAAGGCCAAATCCATCGGAGATAATCTACCTCAATTCAGTCCACAAAATACAATTTTATCTGTTTTTCTCTTCATTCGTTCGTTTTTTCTCTTTTTTATATGTATTTTTTTGGAAATTGTAGTGGGAACGTGGATAATAATATCGTTGGATGGTATGATAACAACGACAAAAACCGCTTTATTATTAGTATTTCCATTACGGAATCGGATTCAATCGAGAAATGTAACGCATTCACTTAGATTATTAGCTCACTCAAGGGCTTTTTGAATCTTTAGTTTTCCATTCAGCCACATAAGCATCAATTAAACCGAAAGAAAGAGAAAGGATTTCAATCGGTTTGCCGCTTTTCATATATGTATTATTTACTAGTCAGAAATATTTTACTTACATTCAATTCTATTGATCACTACATCTATATCAAAATGTTCTGTTACTATTTTCACAGGCTTGTAGCATATGGAAATGATATTTTTCAATGCGACCAAGACCATTAATATTTATAATTTAACTATTGCAGTTCAATTTATAATTTAAGCCAGTGCAAGCCATATGAGATTGTATGAATGAATGAATAAATGAATGAATACAACTTTAATTACACTAGTACTTTGAATCCCTAGACAAAACCGTTGACGCTCACCGCACTTCAAACAGTATGGTGAACCTTACATGAAAAGGCCCAAGAGATAACGAATCTTTTGTTTACTTGTGCACTCAATAAATTTATTTCCGAGCTGCACGCTTTGATAAACTATTCAACTCAAGGGCCATTTGCGTTGGATGTGACGAAGGAGAAAGTGTGAGTTGAACGCAGAAAATGAATGTTATTATTACCTCATGTAATTTGTAGCATTATCCTTCGGACGAAGAGAAAGGGAAGAAGAGGAAAATGTTCTACGTTCGGTGTATTCAATTGATCAGTTTTTAATGCAGCCGATACGCCAATCAAAACAAAATGATGAAAATGATGCAAGCAGTAAAATGGTCAAATATGATACACACATCACGAATTTTCGAAAATATATAGTCGGGATAATGAAATTGTCGCAAAGCATTTGCTGTGACAGGCGTTTTCGGTCTATGTCAGCCGATCATCAATTGCTAACACACTTGATGCATATTATCCTTCATAAATATTCGATGAAACGCAATTCGTGTGTCATGTTCACTTTGCAATTATCAAAACATGATTGCAACATCTCACCCCAGTGACCATTGGACCAACACCCAAAGGCATACAAATCAATCCATCGAATTGTTGCCTTATAATTTCGTATTGATTCCACACATTCATGAGCCATCATATGCGATTCAAATAACATTCGACGAATTGCTTTGCCGATGCGGTTCAATGGCATCAAATTTTAGCCGTTCATTGCTCGAGAATCAGAAGTGTGAACGAGAAACGCAAGGATATGAATAGATATGAACGTGGTTGATGTGATTGAAATTGCAAATGTCGTCCTCAAGATGCTTGTTTTCGTTTCGTCCAACACTAAAACCAGATTCGAATTTAATTAATACCACCCGATCCAATGGACGAAAACACCCCGAATCGTTATTGTGCCCTGGCCAAAGCATACCATTTAGCATAAGTGTATGCCTGTGTGTATGCAACGGTTAAGTCCATTTATTTGAGTTGAAAGTGGAGCAAAGTCTATTTGTTTGGTTATATTCATGAGCTCAAAATTAATAAATCTGGAGAAAACAACAATATATCGTGTGTCCAACTCGAAATCGGCAGAATGTGAAGACTTGGCAATTTAAGTACTTTCTACGCACACGTAAACGCTTATCAAGTATTAGAACGGACAAATCCACCTTGATGGAAGTTCGGCTAAAACAGCAAGCTAAAACACATTTATTTATCAAAAGCTTTCATATTATTGGATCTTGCGCGCGACCTTTAACTCAAATGCCACGTATCCAAAACGTAAATGAGATTGCGACAAACACCGGAATAGACAACGAATTACTTACCGATAAATCACCTCCGTAAAATGGATGTATAACAAAAGTTTCATTTCCTACGTGAATAACACCGCTAACTCCGTTGCAGGTGTGAAAGGCAGCACTAGCACCAGGGTAATCTTTAACTGTGCCATGATAGAAGCAATGTTCGACATCCTGGATTGGAAATAATCATTTTTTTTTTTCAAAATGAGATAACAAACACTTGAATAATGGAAATCTACTTGTAAAAAATTGTCACTGCCATTGTTTTGTGTTGTCATTAACAAAAAGCAAAATCAAACACAAAAGTCGTATGTTCGTTCGTTGGGCAAATTTAATTGCTTTCCAAAGCAAATAAATTCGTTGGAATCGCGCTATGCATGCCTTCATTCTATTTCGCCAGAGTTCGCTCTTCTGAGCTCGAACATAGATTCGCGGTGAATGAAATCGCTTCAATTCGATTCGTATTTGTATTATTGAGACAAAGGCACTTCAAAGTCGACTCAATGAGTTTAATCGAAAATTTAAATGAATTGAATTCTGCGCTACATAGCAAACATTCCACTTATCGAACGGGAACGCGTTCATTGTGATTTTTTGCGATTGGGCGTGACTGGATGGATGGATCACATTGAGATATATATTATATACTATACTTACGTGCCGACCACCATCCATGGCGTATCCGTTGGCTAGATAATGTTTTTGTTGAATATTGGGCGATAAAAGTTGCCTGCGAAAGAAATCAAACATGAAAATCAAAATGATGATAACTTTATTTGAGGGGAAAAAGAATGTGCAAAGAAAATAATTGCTTCTTTCCGAAAGGGTAAAGTTTAACTCCAAGTAGCATTTTTCAATTTTCGATTTACGTTTACCGTTTCCGGTTGGCAACAACGTATACGGTAGTTCTACTCTAAATTGAACGTGCATCTAAATTGAAAGAGAGTCGAGAAAATTGTTAAAGCTCTTGATGCCAGTAAATTTTCACTTTGCCCGTAAATACACTCTAGCCTTTCAACAACAGACCATTTGCCCCTGTCAACATTCGCCAATTGCTTCGAAATCATAAATTAACGGAAATTATATTTCAACGGGAGTTTCCGGCTTAAAAATTGCTTTCCAACGCAGTGCATTTTTATGACAGGCCATAACACACCGGGGGCAAACACTAAGAGCAATAGAGGCTAAGCGGAACGAGACCAGAGTGAGTGAGTGAGATTGAGAAGAAAAGTGCCAACTTCAACAAAGTATGGGACAAAAAATGCGGGTAATGAAATTGAAGGCTGCATTGATTCAAAAATTTATTTTACATTAAGATATTGACATTACTATTTATTATGTGTCAGACATTGATTCACTTTAGAGTCGCACTATAAATTCTATTTAAAAACCAATAGAGGGAGATCATAAAACTACATTTGATATACGTTGGCTATTAGAAATCAATTTCAGAAAACGCGTGGATGATGAAAAAAATCACATTGAAAAAATTAATCAACTTTGTAGCAAGTTTCTTTATGATACTGACGGGAGAGATTTTATATCAAAGATGGAAAAATTGCTGCATAAAATGCAATATTGCCGTTTAATGAGTGCAATTTCTCTGATAATCAGCAAAGAGAAAGCGATGTATGTCTTGGAGTGCAAGTTGAAGAAGGGCAAGCAATACATAAAGTTGGAAATTTATTTATTTATTTTCGTTGGAAGTACATTAATTCGAAATGTGCTCCAGCTACTCTCTGCTGCCGCTTCGGCATTTCGATCGAACGTACTTTACTCTACACTTCAATTCAGCACCTCTAAATCATTTTATTTCCATTTATATGCTCGCAGCTTTTCCGAGCCATTAACTATTTCTTGACAAAATGCATCTGATTTTCTACATTTGCTTCATTAAGAAGAGGGAGGTAGAGAGAGAGAAAAAAATATGGGGAAAAAATGTTAAACTGTTACGCTCTTTGATCAACCTCAATTTCTTTTCCCTTCCTCCAAAGCATTTTTACTCAGCGTATATATGCGGTGGATTTAGTGTGGAAAATGCCATTTGCATTGCAACGCAATAAACACAAAGTCTATGTTTGTCGAGTTGATTTTGTGGGTGAGTGATTAGAAATCCCAACATAAAGCCAACCGAATAAAAATAATCATAAAGAAATCTCTGTGCGATAAAAATGAAAATGTAGAATGCATAAAAGTCTCCAACGAACTAACCAATCTCATATCATGGCATACACGTGAACCGCATCGTTGATGATGTTTGACATTCAACGTCATTACAAACCAAAGGGACGCAGCGAGAGTGAGAGAGACAAACGAAAGCAGTAACAGCAGAAAAAAATGGCTAAAAGTACTTCTATAGCGGATTTAGTAAAAAGTAAACGAAAACACATTAACGGATTTGTGGTACTGTGCAATGTTTTTCACATTGCATACGGCTCAGTCGCTCTCTTTCGTCGCTCTTATTTATCCATTTGCGGCATTCGATGCAAAATCCACTTATTCAATTAAAACAATGCAAGAATCATGGTACGAAATGCGAAAAAAAACTGAAATCTGGATTTTCAAGCGAATTGAATTTAAATGAGAGAGGGAGTGTGTGTATGTGTGTGTGTGTGTTTCGAAAAGAGAATGAAAAAGTGCTTTACTTTGTTCGAGTGGAAACGATTGCTTGATTGCCACTTTACACAAAAACGACCGCAACGCATTTCTATTTTGAAAATTTTCGATCGAAATGAAGAATTTATAAAACGAGTGTATGTTTGAAGACGCAAATACACAAATACCAAACGAGTCAAATAACAAAGTCAGTATGAAAACTTTGTCATCGGAGAAGCCGCAGCAACAGCCGTGCCGAGGCAGATTGTGAGGCACTCTCGGTAAATGATATATATATATAATATATATTCGTTCAAACAAAGGCAAAGGAGAAATTATTAATTTAATTTTGATGTGTGTACAAAATTACATATTAATTTCCGGAACGTGTAGAAAAACCACTATTCACATTCAAAAATATAATCGTTTGCTTGTTCGACGTTGGGATACAGAGAAAAAACTGCATCTTTGTAAACTGGGAAATAAATTAAAACCACTGTTTGGTTCTTTTACTCCATTCGAGAGTATGTGAATAGAATTTTCTGCATAGATTAGGAGTCTTGAATTTGATAAAGTAGCACACGGTGAACGACAAAACCAGTACTCATATGATGCATCATTTTAATGAGATCGTAGAAAATTTACTTTGTTTATTTATTTTATCTTTATTGTTTTTTTGCTTCTACTTCATTTTCGACATTTTTTCACGATTCAAGCATCATTGAAAAAAATATAAAGACAATTACGATGTGAGAGCGCGTTTTTCCACCACCATCATCATCATACCCATCGGAAAAAGGAGTGAAAAAAACGCTCTCTCGCATAAATACAGTTTAGCTCTATCCATTCTGTGCTCTTCAGGCAATCCTGTTTTTTTGGTTTCGCTTACCGTACCGTTTGCGTTGTGCTTATTTACATATTCATATTTGCTATGCCGTGGATATGTTCAAATATTTCAACATGTAAGCCCGATGTGTGTTATGTAGCTAACATACGACCATATGGCGTATCAATTTTGTACTTTTTGCTCTCCACCATACAGACACACAGTTTTTTTTTTTTGCTTTAGCGAACTGAAAATACACTATGTAGTTGTTGCATGTTCTTATGCTTAATTTATATATCATGTTCGAAATTTACCTCCGAGTTGAACACCAATTTTAATCTAGTACGCGCGCGTTGCTCGTTTCGGGGTAATATTTCGTTTGGCACAAAGATTGAGGGATTTCAACGCTCATTCTTCTCCCGCCACTCCTCCTCATTTGTATGCTCCACACAATTCAGACAAAAACCGTGTGATTTAATATACATACCGAAATCGGAATAAATTTTATCTGCACCGAATCGTAAACGTGACCACGGTCTCTAATCTCAAAAGAAACTTGATATTTTGTTTAGCCAACAGTTTTTGGTTTTGTTGCCGAATTCTCTTGATCATTTCGGACTTAAAAAATATTGTATGCTCATGCTCAATCATCGCATCGTTTTCAAGAACAAGAAGATATTGCGAATTTAAGCCAAAATTATTCTATAATTAGAGCTCGCGAAAATCGTTTCGTTATCTATCATTTGCATAAATGTGAGTCCGTAGTACTCAACGTATATTAAATTTAAATAAAATACCGCTTGAATCTCGTTGTCTATTTATGTTCTTGTGCAATTCAAATTTAATAAACATGTTAAAAATGCTTCGTATAATTCCACCGAATTAATTTGGAAAGCAGTTGCACACCGAAGTTCGCTTCATTTTGAAAAATGAATGTGTGTTTGTGTTTTGTGTTTCGGTAGCGAGAAGCGAGGTCGCTTAATGTGAACACATTATCGTTTGGCAAAATTCTATCGTACAAACGAAAAGGAAGGTCATCTTTGTCAAGCGTGTCAAGCATACATTTGTGGCATTTTCGTTGGTGGACTCTGTGATGGTTGTGTGTTATGTCGTTTCCATATATACCTATTACCGAAAAGGGTTTAAATGGATTTAAGTAAAAAAGCACATCGTTTGAGATGAACACTTGCAATTGGTTCTACTCAGCGGGAGTGTTTAAATTAATTTAACCAACGGATTTTTTTATTCAGTTAAGCTGCAATACAACATTCAACCATAAATTTCAACTATGAATAATTCAATAAATTTAATCAGTTTTTAAGCATCTCGTTTCGCTCATCTTATTATTTTCAGCAGAAGAGAGCCAAGACGCAGTAATAAATCCACAATATTGGATTTGCAATTTATGAAAATTTCAAAGCCAACCAAATGAAGAGCATTGCTTTCATGTTTTCCAAGCCTATTCTTGAGAACGGTCTTTGTTGCTTTCACAACTTAATTTGGTACCTCATAATGAAATGAAATATAAGGATAATCCTAAGATGAAACCATACGACGGAACAGCTACATGTAAGCACAATTAACAATGAAGCTCGTTTTTAAGTGATAAGGAAAATATAATGTCCATAAATATATTGCCGGAATACCAAAAGACAGCCAACGACATCTCTAAACCAACTTATTGAATCATCGAATATTTCGAGCAACTTTTTTCATCGTGTGTGACTTGAGTTGAATATAATCAACTTTACGGCGACACTAGCAGCTCCTCTGCACACACACATCGTAGAAGAGAGTACAAAAATCATAGTATTTTGGCAAATGCATCGAGTAACCATTGCAAAACATCAATACATTTTGGCTAACGCGTAGTAACGGCCCACAGAGAAGCTATTAGCGTCGTCGTCAAGTTGATTATATTCTAGTAAAGCTATACACGTTAAAAAAAAAGTTGCCCAAAAATTCAATGATTCAATGAGTTGGAATTGAGATGGCATTGACTGCTATGTGTCAAATGACTTACATTTGAAATGTATTGTGGCACTATCGCTATGATAATGTCAATAAACCAATGACTGGATACTTCTTTTATCTCCAAAGATGGCTTTACTAAATGATAAATATAAAATGCGATGAAATGGTTATAAAAATCCATCCAAGCTGTGACTTCATCGATGGATGTTTGACACAATAAATTACAAACGCAGTCCTTTTTTTAGCTTCATTTTTGTTTGCATCGTTGCAAATTTATGCGGCGACCGGTTGTAATTTAAGCTCTAAAATGGATGTGGGTGCAACAGTATGTGAAA